ACTGAGCTCCACCCGTGGGCCGAATGTTTACGATCTTTTCTAATGCAGGAGCCATTCCCGGTAATGCTTGGGCACTAGCAGCACTATCTTCAGAAAGGCCTGGGGGACCAGGGGTGCCTGAAACCAGGGGCCTCACATAACTCAAGTTCTACCACTTGAGTTATGCGCCCAGAACCAAGCTTCTTACATGTTAAGAGAGTAAGTTTAAAAAAGAAAGATACATAGCAAATCACACAGGGCCACAAAGGCGCACACACACACAATCTGGCACACCACACAAAAAAATCTTTACTGACCCACTCCCCTAGATTACAGCATTAAATAAAAAAAAGACTCCAACACAAATCCTCTAAATCAGGGTTTCTTTACCTTAGTATGCTTGACATCTTAAAATACATAACAGGAGATTTGGAAAGGCTGTTTAATGCTTACTGGCATTTCTGATCTCTACACCTGCCAGTATCAACACTCCAACTCCAGCCCCACAATAACTACAAATGTCTCCAAACACTAAGTACCCTAAGCAGTGTAAATTGTAACCTCATTATTAATCAGTGGTCTAAATCGACTTTAAACTGGGGACTACAGACCCTGGGGCAAAGAAGACTTCTCAAGAAAACAAGTTTCAATAATAAACCTTTTTTTTTTAAGCTTCCAGATCCCCCAGCTTCAATTTAGTCCCCCTAAAACTCCTCCAACTGATGACAGACCCTGTCTGCAATGTAGTTCTCCTCCTGGTGTTTGGTTCTATTGTTTATTTCTTCCCTGCTCTTCCCCAAACTCCCTTGTCAATTTTGCCCCTTTATAAAGTCATAACTCACCCACCCATTCTTACTACAGTGCATCTATTTTTTTGTTTGTTTTGTTTTGGAGTCCACCTGGCAGTGCTCAGTGCTCACGCTAGGCTCTGGGTACCAGGGACAGACCCTGGGTCAATCCCTACCCCTTGCAAGGTGAACACCCTACCCATAGTACAACTGCTCTGGTATTTACTTAGGGCCATAAAACCTCATTAGAATTAAAGATTCCCCACCTCCTGGGTCAACTGAGTTCATTTTGGTGGCACAACTGCAAGAATTCATCTCATTAGGGATTTAATTACAACCAAACTATTTTATTTATTAAACCAATTAGGTATTATGTTGTTTGCACAACTATTACAAGTGGTGAAAACTGAATGGGGGGGGGAGAAAAAAAACTCATAAGAGAAAAAAATTTAATCTTAAGTTTCCATTTGCACCAATATTTTGGGGGTTTGTTTGCTTGTTTTTTGGTTGCATCCAGCGGCTGATTTTGCACTCAGGGATCAGGGAACCACATGGAATGCTGAGGATTAGACCCAGGTTTGCTGCATGCAAGGCAAGTGCTTTACCGCTGTACTCTCTCTCTGACCCTTGCATTTATAGCAATATTCTGATGATGTGTATAACAGAATAAAAGCTTCCAAACATAAATTATATTAACAAAAGCAGAATAAATATTTTAAGCATAAATAAATATACTCTGGAGGTGAGAGGAAGACAATCAATACAGAGTTTCAAAAAGGAGGAGCTGTGAAAAATACTACCTTTTTGGTTTGGTGCAAGGGATAGAATCCAGGGTTCCAAACATCAAAGGCAAGAGCTTTCTTTACTGCTGAACCACATCCCCAGATCTTTCCTATACTTTAAAACTTGGTGATTTTAAAATGTAGTATTATACTCCTTTGAAAACAGGTAAGGATGAATGCCAACTTTAGATTCAAATGCTGGCATATACACAGTGTGAAAAACGCATTCTGTGTAACTACCTTGGATTATGCGACAGTGTTATACATTAACTTAAAGGGGCACAATTCTACAAAAACTACTTTGAAAGTTCACAAGCAAATCGGCACTATTAAACCACTTCCTACAGACGTACTTGTAAACATAAAATGCACGTAATCTATAAATCCTTAGAAGCACCATAATTTACTGTTTATTAAGTTCCTGAGAGATGCTTGGCATTGTTTTAAATTCCATTTAATCCCTATATCCTCTGACGATTATTATCTGATTTCAAAAACACTTTACAAATACTGAACAGGCTGCCAAGGACACGGCCAGTAAATGGAAGAAAGAGGCAGGCCGAGACTTAAACCTGAAAGCTTTGTAACTTTTCCCACAGTGATTCAATAAATAAATATAAGAAAATAAATAAAATTATGAAAATAAAAAGGTGGAGTTCATGCCCAATTCAATCAGCTAATCAGTGGCTGAATAATTAGCAGTACTACATAAAAAAAAAAATAACAAGTATTTTTCAAAGAAATGAAATGTCTGACTCCAAAGCTAAGGCTCCTACTATGCTTACAAATTAACAGACCGAGGGAGAAATGAAGGTACTTGGAGGGTTCCAAAGCACAAAAGCATTTGGATTAAATCTTGATTAAGGAACTCTCAATAGAAGGAATATGATCTTAAATTCACCTTTCTTTCAAAGCTCATTTTACAATATTTGTTAAAGATTTATGATTAATGTGCAAAGGATTTAAAAAAAAAATTTGGGCCGGTCACAAAACCGTCCATAACACTGAAGCTAAAGGTATCTTCAAGGACAAAACACCATTGATCAGACAAGTGGAAACAGATAAACAAATGGGACTACTTTAAGCTAAGAAGTTTCTGTACCTCCAAAGAAACAGTAACCAGAATACAAAGACAGTCTACAGGATGGGAAAGGATATTCACCCAACACCGCTCGGACAAATGGTCAATATCAAGGATATATAAGGCACTGGTTGAACTCTGCAAGAAGAAAACATCCAATCTCATGAGAAACTGGGGTAATAAAACGAACAGAAACTTTCTCAGAGAAGAAACCCAAATGGCCAAAAAACATGAAGAAATGCTCTTCATTGCTAATCATCAAGGAGATGCAGATCAAAACAACTATGAGATATCATCTCCCACCACTGAGACTGGCACACATCCAAAAGACCAAAAAAAACAGGTGTTGGCGTGGGTGTGGGGAGAAAGGGACTCTCCTTCACTCCTTGTGAGAATGCCGACTGGTTTTGGAAAACAATATGGACGTTTCTCAAAAAACTAGAAATCGAGCTCCCATTTGACCCAGCAATACCATTTCTGGGAATATATCCTGGAGATACAAAAAAGTATAGTAGAAATGACATCTGCACTTGTATGTATGTTTATTGCAGCACTGTTTACACTGGTTACAATAGCTAGAATCTGGGGAAAAACCTGAGAACAGACAACTGGTTAAAGAAACTTTGGTACGAACAGACAATTGATTACAGAAACTTTGGTATAATTCTGGGAATATATCCCAGAGATGCAAAAAAGTGTAACAGAAATGACATCTGCACTTATATGTTCAATGCAACAGTATTTACAATAGCCAAAATCTGAAAAAAACCTGGGTGCCCGAGAACAGATGACTGGTTAAAGAAACCCTGGTACATCTACACAATGGAGTACTATGCAGCTGAATTTAGAAAAAAATTCTAAAAAATTTTGGGCCTGTGGCTTACAATATTGTCAATGATACGGTTCCATGCACACTGAATTTAAAAATATAGACCCCATTCTGCATGCCTGGAAGCCTGGGCCATTTCCTGCACTTGGTAGTTCACAGGACTGCAAGGGCCACACCCCATGGTTTTCAGGAGGCCATGGAGTGCTGGGATTCTAAAGCTGGCAATGGAAAATCTTGAGGATGTGCATTTGAAGCTGGTAAAAAAACAGAACCTACACCAGTTTAAAGTCCTACACTATAAAGCTTGGTTCCAGTTACCAACAAAGCATTTCTTCTTAAATGTAATTAAAACAAAATGCACTTCAAATATAACTCTGCGTGTGTTTACACGCACGCCCGTGCTCGCAGAGACATGTGATTTAAAAGATGCTCAAATGCAGATAAAAGGCAGACTTCTGGCCCAAATCCTCGGTTATTCGGTACAATCCCTTAAGGCCCTGAAAGCACACACCACCGAGCTAATGGGCAACATCCCAAGCAGTCTTTAATAAAACAGCATTTTTATCTCCCCGAGAGCAGCGTTTCTCAACCCTTTTCTGACCGTGGCCTTGTTTACTTCTGATCCTATTTCCCTCCAGTAGCCCTCCCGGTAAGTGAAATATAATAGACATTTTAAAACCCTAAATAGAATGGCCCTAGCGACTCACTCCCGTAGACTCCCACGACTTCGGACTCTAGACTGTTAGAGGAACTGCACGGGGACTGTCCCGGGTGAGAGAAGACGAAGGAACCCTTCCCTTCAGAGAGACACCCAACCACGCGAATGACGACCAAATAGTGACAATCAAAATATATATATACACATATCTATATTTAACATGGGCCACAGTGGTCGATGATCTGGTTTGCTGCAGGGGAATACTGCTATGGGAAAGAGGAAAAGCTTCGCTCTCCTACATCACGCATTGTACAGTTCCCACTCGGAGAGGCAACTGCAATCCCGCACGCCGCACCCAAGGACCACGCGGCGGAGCAAAGCTGGAGGCTCCCGCGGAGAGCGGCGGAAAACAGTTCCCAAAAACGGGGGCGGGGGCGGGGGCGGGGTGGGGCACTGCGCCGCGGACGGGGGAGGGGGCCGGGCACGGCTCGGGCCCCAAGGCTAACGGGCGTGGGAGGGGAGGGACACCGCACAGGTGCGAGGGGCGCTGAAACCGCGCCCCTCCCCCAGCCCCACGCACTTTCGCGCGAGGACCCCTCCACGTCCCGCTCCTCGGAAAACACGGGGTGGGCGGCGTCCGGCCAAGAGGCACCGGCGAAGCCCGCGACCCCCGAGCCCCGCCGCCAGGGTTGGTCAGAGCGCCGGGATCGCCCACTCCCACTTGGCCAACTCCGCCCGGTCGAACTCGCACCCGTTCCACCAAGCTTCACCCCGGGCCTTAGAAGAGCCCCCTCCCACCCTCCCGCCCAGGTAAGTCGGCGCGGGGTCCGGGCCGCGGGAGGACCCGCACCGGGACGCGCCCCCGCCGCCGCCGCCGCCCCACCTGCGTGCTCCAGGGCGCCGGCGCGCTGCGGCCCCTGCCGCGAGCTCCCGCTCCGCCCGCGGACGCCCCCGGCCCGCTCCGTCGGCTCGCGGCGCCCGATCCCGAAGTCCCCAGCGCCCCGCGCTGCGCACGCGCGCCACGTCTCGCGGCCCCAGCCCCGCGGCCGCCGCGGAGAGGCTCCCACGTGACGCCCACGGGGGCGTGGCCCGCGCACCCGCGCTCGGCGCACGCGCCGCCCGGCTCCGGCGGGGCCTCCTGCGCTCCGCCCCGCGGCGCTCCGCTTGGGCTCCCCCCCCCGCCCCGTCTCTGGTAGATTCCAGGGGGAGGAGGGGGAGAGCCCCTGAGCCGCCGGCGCAGCCCGGGTCCGGCTCGGGCCTCCTGCGGCCACGCTGGCGCGGGCCCGTCGCCTGGGGCTGGGAGCAGCAGCTGGACGAACCCGAGGAGCCCGCGGGACAGCTGCAGGGAGCGCTGGGCGCGGGGCCAGCGGGAGGACAAAGGCGAGTTCAGCTTGCCCTGGAATCCGTGTGACTCAGCTGTCCTGGGAAGGCCGGGTACCGTCAGCAAAGCGACGGAGTGGCCGGCGCGGGGCTCCGGAAGGCCGAGGCGGGGAGAGCGGCGTGCGTACGCGCGCTTGCAAGGACTCCTCTGGCGAAGTGGGGTTTAAACCGTTCCAGACCCCTAGGCACCGCTAGTGTTTGTGAGTAGCGCTGTAGCCCTGCCCTCCCTGCTGCTGGTCCTTGATTTGCTGGAGCAGGCACCAGTGACGTCTCCATTGTGAGACTTGTTATTGCTTTGGGCATAGCAATACGCCCCCCCTCCCACACACACACATGTTGCCAGGCTCTGCCATGCGGGTGCGATACCCTGATTATGCAGGCTAAAAGGAAGTAATCAACGTTATCGATTTTCCCTCTCTTCAAAGTTAGTAAGCTATTACGTGTGGAAGACGGGAAAGATCAGTTTTGTTTGTTTGGGGGGGTTATCTGTTCATTTATTGAATCACTGTGAGATTGACTCTCACAAAGCTCTTCATGATTAGGTTTCATTCAGTGTTCCAACACCCATCCCGCCACCAGTGTCTATTTCTCAGCACCAGTGACCCCAGCTTCTCCCTCTCTCCCCTCTCCCCGCTCTCCTCTTTCTTCAAGCAAAATCATATTTGAGACCGAGAGTAAGGGCCCTTGCCTTGGAGACCAGAGAGTGAAGGCCCTTGCCCTGGATGTAGCTGAACAGTGTGTTAGGACCAAAGACCACCCGTCAGTATTCAGAGAGACAGAGTCCAGGGGAAATGCAAGCTGCACATCCAGATTTTATTTTACCAGCTAGCTGGGGTCAAAGGGTCCTGACTTCGCTGTCAGGTCAGAGCTTGAAAAAAAACGAAGGTAACTTACAAAGAGGCCAAAGCGAACAAAGGCATACAAAAGCAAATTATCAAGAAAACAAACATTCCCAATTAAGAAGACATTCCCAGTTCCCATATATGAAGAAAGCATCTTATCAGGTAGACATGAAAGTACACATTTCAAGATGGGAGCCGTGGGCAACACATGTGCTTGGGCACTTGTGCTCGGCCACGTGGCCACAAGCAGCACCTGGGCTCAGGCAGCATATTCGTGCCCTTCCTTTGTTCAAGGTGGCCTTTATAGGGCTCCTCCACCTGACCCCAGGTGGGCTTCTATCTAGATAAAAGTCCCCTTGCTAAGGCGGTTACCAGGGGGGGTTGGGGATGGTGATGGTATTCTTTGAAATGACTTTCCTGGCCTTCTGTTACTGCAGGAGCTTCTCTGGGTCTGTTGCTGTAAACCAGTTAACTCAGTTAAATCATTTATCCCTCTTGGCCAGAGCTGCCCCCTACAACTTTTACAACCAGGGTGAGAAGAGGGGAGTGAGCTGCTTCTCACGGTCCCCTTTTCCTAGCATCTCTCTAGGAATCTTCTGCTTCTCACACAGTGTTCGTCCAGAAACTTTAAGACTGTGTGACTTGGTGAAGGCTGGCAATAACTTAATTCTAGGTGAACTCTTACCAATCAAGATTAAAGATGAGAACTGTTGTGTGACTACTGAGGGAGGCTTTCCCCCCCACACACAAATGGTAGGTTCCGTAGCTCAAGTCTTGAATTACAGGGTCTTCAAGTTATTTATTTATTTATTTTTATATAATGTAGGAGTGCTGCTATTTAATTCAAGTTATTTTTGCTTCTAAAACCTTGAAAATTCTGAAAGGAGCGCGAGTCTATTTTCATAGGCATTTTTAGATTAAACGTTAAATTTTTCATCTAATAAAGGATGAGGTTTTTATTTATTTATTTATTTTTGCTTTTTCGGTCACACCCAGTGATGCACAGGGGTTATTCCTGGTTCATGCACTCAGGAATTACTCCTGGCGGTGATCAGGGGACCATATGGGATGCTGGGAATCGAACCTGGGTCAGGCTGTGTGCAAGGCAAATGCCCTACCCGCTGTGCTATCACTCCAGCCCCTGTTTTATTTTAAACTGTTTTAAAATAAAAATTATGGGGCAGGAGAAATAGCCCGAGGGCTGTAACAAGCCCTTGTCTTGCTGGCTATCCGAGACCCTGCTTCGTTCTTTAGACCACAAACGTTGTTTGGACAGCCCTGGCAGTAGATATTGTATTAGAACATTTTATGCCTAAAACTATTGTTATTAGCATTATAAACAACTATATAAATAAAAATTGGGGAAGAAATTAAGTTGGAGCTGGAGTGACACTACAAGGCACTTTCATTACACACAACTACCTGAGTTTCAAACCATCACATGAAATATGGCACCCGGACCTTAACTAGGAATGGTCCCTGAGCACAGAAGCAAGAGCAAACCCTGAGCACAGCTGAGTGTGGTCTCAAAACCAAAAGAATAGTAAAATTGATTATCAGTGACATTAGTAATGATATCTGATAGTCTTTGCGTTAAATTACTTAATGATAAGCAAAGAGTCACAGTCACGGTCTTCCCATTATTCATTGATTCGCTTGAGAGGGCCCAGTAACGTCTCCATCGTGAGACTTGTTGTTACTGTGTTTGGCATATCGAATACGTCATGGGGAGCTTGCCAGGCTTTGCCATGCAGGTGAGATACTCTTCAGTAGCTTGCGGGCTCTCTGAGAGGGGCGGAGGAATCGAACCTGGCTCAGCCGGGCTGGCTGCGCGCAAGGCAAACGCCCTACCTCTCTGCTATTGTTCCAGCCCAAGCAAATAGTAGTTCTAAAAAATTTGGACAAATTTTTAACCTAATTATCTACAGTGATGCATTTTCATTTAATAAAAAATTGCTTCACAGTACAAAAAAGCAAATGTGATTACTATTTTAATCGTGTCATAATAACTTTATAAAATACCAATATTACATATTGCATTTTTGATAACACAAGTATTCTTAGAAAATCTTATTAAAGGACATTAGGATAATTATGCCTATTTAGGCAAGCAATCTTCATTATAATAATTTTTCAATTTCTGGGTGATAGTGTTAACTTTTGTGTAAGAACCTGGATTTTAATCAGATGACTGTTAAGAGTTTTATCAGAGAAGATGTTAGATTCAATTTCATCCATGATGTGCGGTGTGTTTGATTCTGCTGGACAATAAAAAGAAGACGGGATCTTTAGTGCTGCTTAAGTAGGATAACAGTTACACACTAGCCATTTTCTTGAAAATGTTTCCTGGAAGGATAAGAAGAAAAGTGGAGGGAGGGAGGAGAGGGAGGGAGAGGGAGAGAGAGACAGAGAGACAGAGAGAGAGAGAGTCCAAGGGCATGTGCCCAACCTGGGTTCAATCCTTGGCACCACATGGCCTCTCCAACATCACAAACATCCTTGGACCCTACTGCTTAACTCCTGGCTTGAGCACTGCTTGGGAGAAAGAGTTAAAATAAGAAAATAGAAAAAAAGGAAAGGGAAGAGAAGGAGGAAATATAAGAGAGAAGGAAGGAAAAGATGTATGAGTACTTGTAGGATAACATTGGTTTGTCCTTTCAGCCTTGCCACAGAGAACTTATGTTTATTGGGTTATACCCATCACAGTGCTCCCGAGTCAAGAGTCACTCCCATTCCTTTGTTTATCTGTAAACTCTTCTCTGTGCTCTCTTCCCCAAACAGTTAATCACCTTTTCCCCTAATCAGATTCTGTTAGCCTGTAAAATAAGATCTTTCTAAGGACTTGTATTGTAATTTATGTCTTTTGCATAGTTTACCTTAAAGCAATGTCCTTTCTGTATGGACACAGGAAGACAGTTAATATTATGCTTTCGTAACTTGGGAGTTAATTGACTCTGAATAATATTCACTCTTGGGCATCTACTTTCTCGACTCAGTTGCCCTTAGTTCCTAGCACCCCAAAAACAGGGTCTCGACGAGGAACTGAATGGACCCAGGGCAACTGTGAGCTACCCTGGTATTAAAATGGGCCAGGCCAAGCGCCATAATACTTAACTATAAGTTAAGAGCACGTTCATGGACAAACTCTGTCATGACCCAAAAGAGATAACTGGAGAAGGACCCTGCTGGGGTCCTAACTAACCTGGCCTGAGGACTGTGGAATATATAGTGAATATATAGTGAGATGTCTTCAGGAAGAACCAAACTTTAAGTTTGACACATCTCTTACTGTGCTCACAAAGAATGACATTGCTAGAAATATTAGAAGTAGATTTACTACAACTATTTAAGTGGATTGCTAGGTGAGGAAAGAAGAAAGCGACACACCCTGGATGGGATCCCACCCTTAAGTGAATCTCCTAGTAATCTGGAGTAATCTCCTTAGATGAGATTTTGTCCTTGAATTATTCTCCTGGAGGAGTGGCCTTACCTCTCTTTGTTGAGTTGTTAATGTTCAATCCCTCCTTTGTATCACCACCCTACTTGATTGCTATCTAAACAAAGATGGAGGGGAGAAGCAGGAAGGAATCCAGGAATGAAGGGTGAGGAAAATCTAGGAACGAGGAAAGTGTGATATGGGACAGGCAGAGATTGAAGAAACGGAAACTAATCAGCAACCAGCTTGGTCCTTCACCTGTCCATCACCAACAGCTGTCTCCATCTGGTCCATACACAGCAGCTGGAGAGCACGAACACGGACAGGGGAGAGAGCTGCCCGGAGGACCTGT